CTTTAAAATCCAATTGAGTTAGATTAATCTCGCTCATTAAGATAGGTAAGGGGAAAATATATTGAGAATAGTCTTAAATTATTATATTACATGTACTTGTATTGGTATTGTATATTGGTATTGTATTGCACAACTGTACATTTACTAGTTAGTAGTTAGTTACACAGTTAGTCATACACATTGTCTTAGCTGTCGTATATACGTGTACATGTACATATATACACACTTTACATTTTACAGCAAGAAAGAAGAAAAAATAGAAAATCATTTTTCATGTTCCATCTTTTACTCTTTCTTTCTCTCTCTATCTCTGTTTTCTCACGAGTCTCTAGAACCTCCATTGGAGGTCTTGCATGAGCTTGATTTTCTCAGTCCCAAACTAATCTCGATATGGTATCAGAGCCCGATTGAACGTATCTACTCGAGGTCTACCGGAATTCCTCTTTCAATATCTCAAAATCCTCTTCTCTTTTTTCCGAATTCTAGGGTTTTTCGATTCCTTGATTCATGCTGAGATTTTCACACGAATCGGAGTTTTTCAGTGAAATCGATCTATCTACTCGCAAAATCGGTTGATACGCTGGTTAATTTCATCTATTAGAACCTTTCTAATGGCCATAAACCAAAGCGAAGAAACAACACCTGATGCGACCGGAAATGACTGGCCGGTCATCGATGCGAGTAGTCCTCTGTATATTCATCCATCGGACAGTCCTGGAGCAATGTTAGTACCGGTTCCATTTGATTGAATTGGGTATAGATCTTGGAGAAGAAGTGTATTACGAGCTCTGTCAGTGAAGAACAAGGTAGGGTTCATAAATGGGGAATGTAGGAAACCTAGCCCTAATTCAGCTCAACTTTGCCAATGGGAAAGATGTGACGATATGGTGCCCCCCTGGATTCTCAATTCCCTCGCAAAGGAGATTTATGATAGCGTTGAGTATGTAAATGACTTTGTTGAGTTATAGAGGGGGCTGGAAGACCGATATGATCAAACAAATAGAGCGAAGTTATATCAGATCCAAAAAGAGATCAACGACCTTGTTCAGGGATCATTGGATATCACTGCCTACTACACACGAATGAAGAGACTGTGGGAAGAACTAAACACACTGAGTGCCAATTCTCAGTGCAGCTGCATTTGCACATGTGGATCAAAAGAGACGATGCACAAAGCAGAACACGATCGACGTCTCATCCAGTTTTTGATGGGCCTAAATGAGGTCTATACAATAGTGTGAGGAAGCATCTTGATGATGAAACCCCTGCCATCTTTAGCATAAGCTTTTTCCCTCCTGATACAGGAAGAGAAACAAAGGGAGTTCAGGCCAAGTAATCAACTAAACCTCGAGTCTACTTCATTACATGTGAATTCCACACCTATACAACACCAAAGTACATTTGAAGCTAGTAATTTCAAGACACATTACACTGCGAACAACAGAGTTCGCCCATTCTATGACTATTGCAGGAGACCCGGTCACACAAAGGAAAAATGTTACAAGTTACATGGGTATCCCCAAGGCAAATCATACAATTAGGGGTGCACATGGACCGGGTTGGTTCAGATTTTATCAAAACCAAATCAAACCAATTATATCGGTTTGGATTGGTTCGATTTTGTCGGATTTTTCGGATTTTCAGGTTTTTTTTATTACATGAATATTATTTCAATCTTGCATTATTAAAGTTATAGATAAAATTTTGATAAGTGAATATATATTTACTAAAAATTTTAAAAAAAACAAACAAACATATCATAATAAATTTTTTATGATCTTATGGGAGAATTCTTTTTAGTAACACATAATAGTTTATTTTCTTAGTCGTCTACCAATAAATTTTGGTTGATGTACGCTTTCAGGGTTAACCAAATTTAATAATTAAACATAAAAATCAATATGATACCTAAATAATGATATGTTCTATGTAATTTTAGATTATTAAAATACCACTTCAAATTCGAAAAACATATAATAAATCTTGACATATGAATATGAAAGAACAAAGAGATGATTGACGCATTTCAATAACACATAATAAGAAAGTGATACAATCTATTTTTTAAAGTAAATAAAAATTAATGCACTTTATAGTTCTATTAAATATTATATCCCATGAGAGGATCTCAAATATTTCTAGACATCTTTTAAATAAAATTCTATACAAAGTCTTAAAATTATATATAAAAAATTATATATTTATATGTCGGTTTGGTTCGGATTTTTTTACTTAATACCAAACCAAATCAAACCAAACCTAGTCGGGCTTTTTAATCGGTTTGGTTTGACTTTTCGGTTTTGTGTGATTTTTCGGTTCGATTTGTACACCCCTACATACAACAATCAGAATTTCAATCGGACCAATACTCAGCAGTTCAATCAGAATAACAACTCAAACCAGACTCAGGGTCACAAGTTCAACAAAGGAAAAGAAGTTGTGGCAAATGTACATGGAGTTCCAACTGATTTGCTTCATGAGAGGGAAGATAATTTAGTAGCACATGATGAGATCAAAATGTCAACCTAACAAGGGAGCAGTATGGGCAGATAATGAGTCTTCTGCAGCACTTTAAGACAGGCAATATAGGAGGATCATCTAACAATGCCAACATCACTAATGTTGCTGTCAACTTCGCAGGTATTGTGGTCTACACCTCCTCTATTGATTTTGACAAACCATCATGTAAATGTTTTGAATCAAAGTCTAACCTTTGGATCATAGACTCGGGAGCATCTAACCACATGACTTTTAATAGGACTGCACTCAGCAACATCACTACTCTACCATATCCCTTATTGATTAGCCTACCAAATATATATAAGGTGAATTTACTTGAATTTGGAGATGTGATACTTTGTCCTGATATTATCCTACACAAAGTTCTTTATGTCCCTTATTTCAAGTATAACCTAATATCTGTCCACTCTTTTGAGTACATCTTAAATGTATTGTGCTCTTCACTAATGCACTGTGTCCGTTGTAGGCCCGTTTAGTGAAGAGGCCTCAGGTGATTGGTAGTAGCATGGAGGGACTGTACTATCTGTGTTCCAGATGTCTAAAGGGTAAAAATACTTTCTCAAATTTTGATGTATTTGGTTCTTGTTGCAACTGTTTTTCCACTACTAGTGTAAATAGTGAAGGCTTCAGAAGTCCTACTCATTCATATCATCTTTCATCAAATGTAAATACATTCACTCACAATAATAAGAATGATTCCTCAGTTGTGTTTGATAAGTATGATATAAATCTCTTGTGGCACAATAGGCTTGGTCATGTTCCTTTTGTCAAAATAAAGGGAATATCTTCCATACATGTACCTTTCTCACGTAGACAACCATTTATTTGTTCAATTTGCCCCATGGTTAGACAACCTAGACTTCCTTTCCCACAAAGAACTAGTATCTCTACCAAAACATTTGAGTTGATACATGTTGACATATGGGGTCCCTACTATGTCAACACTTGTGATAATTACAAGTATTTCCTCACACTAGTGGATGATTTTAGTAGGTCCACTTTAACACATTTGCTAAGTTGCAAGAGCAATGCTCTCCAAACCCTCAAGGTCTTTATAACCATGATTGAAAATCAATTTAACACATATGTTAAGACCATCAGATCAGTTAATAGGTTGGAGTTCACCAGTCATGAAACTATCACATTCTACCAATCCAAAGGCATCATTCATCACAAAACTTACCCCTACACACCACAACAAAATGGGGTAGTAGTAAGGAAACACAAGTACCTCCTAGAAACTGCTAGGGCACTTATGTTTCAATCCAAATTACCAACCAAATATTTGAGAGAATGCATTTTGATAACCATTTGCCTAATTAATATATTGCCTACTACCTACCTAAATAACAAATATCCTTTTGAACCTTTGTACAATAAGAAACCCAACTACTCTCATTTAAGAAGTTTTGGTTGTTTTTGTTATCGTACTACACCTAAGGTGCGTAGGAACAAATTTGAGCCTAGAAACAACTCCCCATGTATTCATAGGATATCCTTTTGGGACAAATGGGTATAAAGTACCAAGCCTAGCCACTAAGAAAATTCACATATCTAGAAATGCCATATTTCATGAAAATATTTTTCCTTTTACTTTGAGTTCTAAGAATGTTTCCCCATACAGTATTTTTAAATCAGTTACATTTCCTTCATATGTTGAGAGTGAAGATCCTCTTCCTGATAGTCAAGATGTTGTAGCTATCACATCTCCAGGTTTACACCAACACCTTAAATTCTCTCCTGTAAATGACACTTCAACACCACCTAATAATTCATCATCTCATGACTGTGTTTTTGCATCCTCTAATGGGGCTGCTGACCTTAATTCATCCATGTTTCCTCAATTAGAAATAACTACAATCAGAAAGTCCACCAGAACACACAAAACTCATAGCCACCTCAAAGATTATGTCTACACCCTTCCTAACAGAACCCAATCTACCACTTCTCAATGCTCACCTTCTTTGAGTGCATTATTCTCAAATCACAATCATATCAACACTGATGCTTTATGTTCTGAAAGTCAGCACCTAGTGACAAGTGTTTGCCATGATAGCGAGCCATCTTCATATGAAGAGGCTGCACTTAGTCCTGCATGGCAGGCAACCATGACATAAGAATTTGAAGCCCTTCATGCCAGTCATACTTGGGATTTAGTTCCCCTACCTGCTGGAAAGCAAGCTATAGGTTGTAAGTGGGTTTACAATGTTAATCATGAGGCAGATGGAAGTATTTAAAGATTTAAGGCTAGACTAGTGGTAAAAGGCTACACTCAACAAGCATGGATTGATTACACAAAAACATTCTCTCCTGTTGTCAAAATGACAATAGTTAGAGTCTTAATTACTGTAGCAGTGAAGAAAGGCTAGGATATATTCCAACTTGATATGAACAATACTTTCCTCCATGGTGATTTGTATGAGGAAGTATATATTGAGATACCACCAGGCCTCTTGATTGATCAGCCCAGTTTACACAAGATGGTTTGCAAACTAAACAAGTCCCTATATGGATTGAAGCAAGTTAGGAGGCAGTGGTATGCCAAACTAACTGAAGCTGTATCATCAATGGGATACATGCATTCTGAGAATGACTATTCACTATTCTCCAAAAGGACCTCATCCTCCACCATTTTTGTAGTAGTGTATGTTGATAATGTGATAATCATTGGTACTGATTCAATATAGATAGCTAACCTGAAGGCTTTTCTTGACAAATAATTCAGAATCAAAGACTTAGGGAGACTTCACTACTTCTTGGGCTTAGAAGTCTTTTACAAATCAAATAGAGTTCTCATCTCTCAAAGAAAGTTTGCTTTAGACCCGCTCAATGAATATGACTGCTTTGCATACAACAGTTTATCTTCTCCCCTTGATCCTATCCTGAAACTAAAAGCCAATGAAGGAACTCTATTGCCAGATCCCACATACTACAGAAAACTAGTAGGAAAGCTGAACTTCCTAACTAACACAAGACTTGACATAGCATACAGTGTGCAGCTTCTCAGTCAGTTTATGCAAGCACCTAGAGATACACACTTGACTGCAGCCTTCCACCTCTTCATATATCTCATGAAGGATCCCACACTAGGGATATTTTTCTCAAATAATGTTGATTGCTCAATATCTGCATACTGTGATTCTGATTGGGCAGCATGCCCTGATTCCAAAAGATCTGTTACTGGCTACATTGTGCTAGTAGGAGACAACCTTATTAGCTGGAAGTCCAAGAAACAAGAGACCATCTCCTTGTCATCAGTTGAAGCTGAATATAGGTCCCTTAGAAAGGTTGTTGGAGAACTAGTATGGCTGAATAGGTTGTTTGAAGAGCTCAATATCACACAATCATATTATTGTATTTTGTGATAGCCAATCAACCATTCACATTGCTCACAACCATGTGTTCCATGAACGGACCAAATACATTGAGATGGATTGCCATTTTGTCAGAACTTAGCTCCACGAAGGTCTTATTTCTCTTCATCATGTAGCAACTAATGACTAATTGGCAGATATCCTCACTAAGGCTCTCACAGGGGTTAACACATGCTGCTGTACTTGGCAAGTTGGCTGTGAGATCCTCCTATCCAACTTCAGAGGGGGTATTGAGAATAGCCTTAAATTATTGTATTACATGTACTTGTATTGGTATTGTATTGCACAACTGTACAGTTAGTAGTTAGTTACACAATTAGTCATACACATTGTCTTAATTGTCATATATACGTGTACATGTATATATATACACACTTTATATTTTGCAGCAAGAAAGAAGAGAAAATAGAAAATCATTTTTCATGTTCCATCTTTTACTCTTTCTTTCTCTCTCTATCTCTATTTTCTCAGAAGTCTCTAGAACCTCCATTGGATGTCTTGCATGAGCTTGATTTTCTTAGTCCCGAGCTAATCTCGATAAAATCTCTATTAGGTTCAGGCAAATGCCAAGTCTTTGAGAAAATTATGCGGTAAATTTGAGCAAGGACGTTGAGTCTCTAAAAAAGATATATATAATAATATAAAGACAATAAAATATTTCAAAATGCAAATATTTTCGTTAACACTCAATAATACATTTCAAAAGCAATATACGCGAATAATTTTTTTGCAAACGTTTATGTATCCATTCAATATAATTAAAAGTAGTCTACAAATTACTTTATGAATTTATTTAGTCAAACTCTTTTGTATGACGAATGAAGAGTGTAGTTTGAGTAATAAAAACATAAAAAAAAGTTATGTTTGACATTGGCAAAAATGAAAAAAGGGGATGAAATCTTTTGCTTGTTTCACCAGGAAAATGTTGCTTATTATTAATAATTAAAATTGATTTTGCTTTCATCAGAAATAAGTTTTTTGTGTATATTAATCACATTTCAACGATTTCTGAGTTCTTACTATTGAGGACGCTTTAATAATTTTGAGCTTTTCTATAAGTGTTATATTTTTTTTGTGGTTTCAAAAGATTTTGTTAAATATTAAAAACCTCGTATGGCATCTTACCAGTAATAATAATATCAATGTATGCTGCATTATATTTTTCCTGTTTCGTGTAATTTCAGTTATCGCTTTTTTTCTTTTCTATATTATATACCATCATTCATACTATGACATTTCTGAAAACAGAATTTTAAAAGAAGAGAATAAATTTTCTGAATTATACGTCAACGATATATAATTAAGTATATGAACAAATAACATGACAATGAAACCCGCTAAAACATACTTTCATTACATTTTATCCTAAAATTAAATTATTTCCATTAAGTAAAGTAAAAACATATGGTGGAACTAGTAAAGTTTGCAATTATGTGCTTAGAAAGAAAAGAAAGGTGCTAAAATAAAGGAAAATTTCAACATAACGAAAGAAAAAAATTAAGGTTCTTTTTAAATTATTTTTTAATAGCTCTATAGCAATAATACCAAAAGGCCACCAATTGCCAAGTATTTTCTTGTGGTTCCGAGGATTTTTATTAATTGGAAAAGACCTACTTTTTGTTATTCTGTAATAAAATTATATAAAGGGAACTAAAGTATGTGAATTAATGAATATCGAGAAAGAAACCAGATATGCTAAAAAGAAAAAGGAGAAGGGAAAATTCCAACTCAGGAAAAAAAAATGGTGGTCATACTTTATCGACTCAAAAAGAGTGTCTTTAAATAAATAAATAAATATCTAAATAAATATAGTGCACTAATCAAGGCCTCGAAAAGGTAAGCATGGCCTTTTCACCTTTTCCCACATTATACTTAAACGATTTTATACTTCTTTCTTTGTTTTATTATTTTTAAAGACAAGGTACATCTAATTATTCTATTTCAATTTTTCCTTTATTTTAGTTGTTCTCTGTCAATATATTAGTTACCGTCGACAGTTGTGATAGGATGAATATAATTGTTTTACACTTTTTTTAGAGTTTTTGATTTGAGTCACAATTCCGAAAGAAAGTGCTTCCTCTTTTAACAGCCATTACCTGATGCAAATTCGAATTAATCGTAACCTAGTGGACCGAATGTAAAATAAATAAATAAATCATTAGTCAATATGTATCTATCACAATAGTGTGACAACATCCAATGATAATCCATACATTGCATAATTAACAGTACATTTATACCTTTGTTTTTTCAATAGTATTTTCTTGCTTCTTAGCCAATATAAAAGAAAAGTATGATAAATTGTAAAGAAAGAATTTTCTTGTATTAAGGTGATTAAATAGGCATTTGGACATAGAAATTATAATTTTAAAAAATAGTATTTTGAGTTAAGCTGAAAATAATATTTGGACAAATATTTCAGTTGAAAAAATATTGCAGTTTTGTGAGTGGAGAAAAAATAATTTCTAAAAATTTTGATTTTGAAAAACTCGTTTTCAAAAATTTTCCAAAAATAAAAAAAAATTATGGACAAACACATTTTAAAAATTATTTGTTAATTTTTTTTTTATTTTTATGGACAAACGGAGCCTAAATGAAGTGATAATAGGAAGATTAGGTGAATGGAATTGTGTGAGAGTTTTGTTGGGCATTTCTTCAATTTAAAATGCAACTTAAGAAATAAAAACTTTTTAAAAGGTATAATGGGGAAAGTGATAGATCATAGTCAGCAGATTCTATAACTAGATTAAAGAATCAACAGACTTTAATTTATTTATTTAAAGGAGTTCATTTAAAGTATCTCACCACATGACATTCACGAGCTGTTTGGGGGACTGAAACCCCACTTTAGATAATATTTTATATGGGTATTATCGTTTTTAGCCCGCGCTAGAAACTGTTTATATTTAGTAGCCGAAAAAATATATAAAACTTGTATAATTTTTGTATATAACAAACATAATGTATATAAAAATATATAAATTTATACATTTTTTTGACTATTATTTTTACAACGGCTGTACATCGTCATTTTTCCTATTTTATATAAGTAAAAACTTACCCCCATCAACTATTCATTGAATTAATAAATATTTTATATGTATTTGTACTTGTACTTCATTTAACTTTAGTAAGTTTATATAGATTTAGAGTAAACACTTGAACAAAAAAAAAATTAAGGTTCCATATAAACAAATATTAATTTTCATATTTTAGTATACTTCTTTTAAATCTATACTAAATCTGCAATTTGTCTTCATATTTTCTTTATAAATGTATTTATTTACTACATAAGTCCACAAAATTAGATTTATGCGCAATGGAGTTTTACTTGAATCAATAAAGGTGCAAATTGAGGTAAGAACACAATCAATTAACCATAATAAACTTTATGTGTAAGATGCATATCATGTATGTATATTGCCTCCATATACGGATCAATGTAACGACCTCGCTTGTCGTTTTAAGAGTTTACACTACGTTCAACGACTTAAGGTCCCGAGCAATTTCCTAACATGTATTATGACTTGCGTGTGCAATAGAGTTTGGAAGTTGGAAGATTTGAAATTTTATGAGTTCGATTTGTGGTACCGAGGTAGGCTAATGTGTAAGGCCCCGTGAATTTCTAATTCTAATTCGAGCAATTTGGAGGTTAGGTATACAATTTAATTTAGACCCGAACCACATGAGAATTTCAGGAGTAGATAAGTTATTCACATACTTAGGGATAATTGTTTTATTAATCTTTGAGTGTTGTAGTAATAGGAAACCCTTGGCTATTAATTTAAAAGCAATAAGACTAAAGAAAATACAGTGAGTTATCTCCCCATAGTACAACTATAGCACATGAGGGAAGCAGAAAATTATAGCAAAACAGTGAGCTAAACCCTTATAGTACAGGGATAGCATCAGTGGAAAAATACTGTATCCGATTTTAGCAAAATAGTGAGCTAAAGCCTTATAGCACAGGGATAACACCAGTGAAAAAATACTGTACCTGGACCTATTAATACATGAGCGGGGAGAGAGAAGAATAAGAAGATTTCAAGACTAGGGCTTGTCTCTCCATCACACATCCGGCCAAGGCTTCCAATACACACTTAAGGTGAGTTTCTAAGTGTGTTTTTATGATGATTCCACTTCTCAATCACTAGTTACACAACAAGGTTTTGTATTGGATTTCATATGATTTCTTCAAAATCTCAAGAACACCCCAAAAGTTGACTTTCAAGATTTGGTCTTCAAGATGTAATCTTTCACTCTTAAAAACCTATAATCATGGGCTGTTACTGAATATATGAGCAAGAAATAAGCATTTACACTTATTGGATGCTGTTTGGAAGCCATAAATACTTTAACTACATTATTGGGTGTTGTAGAGATTTTGTAATAAATTAATTAGTAACAATTGGGTGGATGTGAGTTCATTGATGATTATAACGATGCTAAGAAGGTAGTTATTGGACAAAGGATGTTGTATTATATCTTGTTGGTAGGAATGAGCGGTTGTTAGATGAAGAAAACACCATTACTAGAGGTAGTAATATGCTATGTACTCTAGGTATTTGATAAAATGCCTAAATGACCAAAAATTTAGAAATTTATTTACTAATATTGGTGCAATTGTGTTGCATTGTTGTAGATTGAAATTTGTTTAGCGTGACGGACCATCGTAGTATTATTGAGGGGCGAATTTCAGATTTGAGTTGTCCGAAGGTGGCTTCACTCGCGAAGATCATATAAAGCATTGACTTAGTTTCGTCGAGGTAAGTATCGTGCCTAACCTTGAGTGGAGAAATTACCCCTTAGGCATCGAGTCTTATGTGCCATTTGTGAAATATGAAAGGCTGTGTACGCGAGATGACGAGTACGTACTCGGGCTTATATGTAAAAATTTATTGAGTTACATTCTTGGGCATATTGTATAGTAAATTGGACAATTGTTGGCATTTATTAAATCATCTATTTGCCATGCTTCAAATCACATTTATTGAATTTGTTTTTATATGACAATTTAATGTAATTATTACTTGTATATTTATGTGATTTTCGTGAGTTTGATGGTTTGATATTTCTTGGAATTTAATTTCATTATGGATTTTTCCTATGCAAATAATTAATTAAGCAAGATTAAGAAGAAGTGTTAATATAATTATCAAAATTTGAATTAATGAAGGCGTTGCCCTATACTGATTATTTCCTATCTTTGTTGATTGTTTTTGATGTTTCATATACATTGTGTGGGGCCTTGGGCTATTTGTTATGAAATTAATTAATTTTGTTATATCCTTGAAATTGGTTGTGGCCATTGGGCAAATTCTGATATGAATTGATTTTGTTACGTTGTCGTGATAATATTCCGTATAAATTATTATATTAAATGAGTTATTATTTTGAGGATATAAGGGTGGCATTTCACTGTTGATATTATGTGGGCATAATAGAGGCATTTCACTGTTGTTAATTATTATGTGTGTTGGGATATTGTCTGGGTGGAGCGATAAGGATGGCTATAAGAGAGATTAGAGTGGCTATAAGAGCAATAAGGGTGGCTATTAGAGCTATAAGGGTGGCTATTGATATTGTCATG